GATGAAGTTGCACTAACCTAGTGCCCAGTAATCACTCTCCAGCACAGCGTTCTGCTCTGACAGCCAAACCAAGCAGCAGTACGAACTCGTCACGCACAAATATGACCGAAAGACAGGAAAGACCACGAGTAGCTCGCGTGCACTCCTTATATACCCATGCGCGGGTTATGATTATGGGATATAAATGCTTAACTGCAAATAATTAAAGAGGGCGCTCTAACCACCCCACTATTTCGCTACAATATGATAACATCGTGATTTGATCTTTTGAATTGACTGAAATTTGAACATTCTATGACGACAGTATTTGAACAAAGACTATGGAGCGTCAAAAGTGGACAACCCCATTTTCTCATTTTCTGCTAGTGGATTTTCGGGATTTTGGACTTTGCGTATAGCATTTTCAAAAAACGCAATTTTCTGCCAGCAGAAATTTGGATTATACTTTAACAACTCTCGTGGTGCGTCAAAAGTGGACAACTAAAAACTTCAAATTCCCACTGCAAAAATTACTGGTATGCTCCAAAAGTAGACAACGCCATTTTCCCATTTTCTGCCTGTAGATTAGGAGTACCACTACTAATGAGCAGTGGTGCCATGGTCATCGGATTCGTCTCTGAAGGGGGGTGGCGCGGAGCACTCAGTCCTACGGGAAACCCGTGGCCCCTCCCCTAACTCTCCATCCGAAGCCACGAATTCTCCACCCACCCCATTAAATTTGTCCAGTAGCCTATACATCTTGCTGGTAGTAACAAGTTTAACCCTCCGCTGCAAAAGACCTATTTTTACGCTTTAACGAGGTGTCAAACTTCCACAGATGACGATGACGCTGAAGGTGACGGCTACAGTGGCACTTAAAATAGTACTGAAAAGAAATAAATTGAAAATAAAATAAACCTTCGACTGTAACACATTTGAGGCTATTGCTTCTCTCCAAAACATGCAGCTGAAAGAGACGGTGTCAGAATTCTTAGATACTGCGCCAGCTGGAGCGATATTGTTTTCCATGGGCACTTTCATCACTGCGATGGAGCGCCACAAGGCTCAAGTGTTTGCAGATGCCTTCTCTAGGCTTCCGTATCGCGTGCTGTGGCAGTCAGGCATGGAGTTGACAGGACTTCAGCTAGGAAACAATACGATGGTTGTCAAGTGGTTGCCAATGACACAAGTTATGGGTGACTTGTTATTTTTTAGGTCGTGTTTAATGCCCTTCCCTTTGTGAAAACTGTAAAGATTTTGATTCTGTGCCATAAAACGTTAATATCATGCATGAAGAGCCAGCAGTGTACACAAGATTTCTAGAAATAACCTCGTTGGTCGTTTTATTTCATAAATAAAACAACATTGGGTGAGAAAGTTGTAATTAATCCTATATTATTCAATAATAATTATGCACGAACACGAAGATAAGGAATGAACATCAAAAGTATACTTCTTTGTGTTACTTCTGGCCTGTTCTTTATTATCCGTTTCTGTTTTTTTTTATCAGAAGAAGGAAACAAACTCAATAATGTTTGGGAACGAAATTAAACATCGTTCCATGGAATTTTGTGATATAGTTGTTAAAACAAATGGGGCGTTACATGTATATATCATCATTTTTAACATCTGTGTTAGGCATATCTTTAGCATTACACCCCACCCCTTAACGAATGGATTTTATTTTCCGTGAAATAATGAAAAATAAAGATCATTCTCTTAATAGCAGACTGGTACCAGGGTATCCCGTTTGGATTTTCCCAAATCGTGCAAGTTTCACCATCTGGGAATACATCCATAGGTTGACACAGCTTTGTTTCGGTCATTCACAGAACATGCTAATATACGATTGTACGTTGGCCAGGGTGGAAGCTTAACCGTGCATGAAGCACTTTGGGCAGGTTTACCGATAGTCGGACTGCCGTTGGTGGAAGATATGATGGACAATATGGTCCCCGTGGAAACAAAAGGTGCCGGGTTGTCGTTGGACATCGGTAACATTACACCAGACACGTTGAGCCAAAGCATCGTCAGGGTCATGACGGAGCCTAGGTAAGTATGTTACTCTGTATAAAGCCTTCGGTGATTGTCGCGTGAACACGTTGCCAGAGAGGTAAGATAAAGTGGTGTTTGCTGCCGCTTTATAATTAGATGAAACGCTCATGGAATTGAAACAACGATTGTATAATATTCATTGCCAGAAAGAGAGAAAAAAGGGGGAAACGGATAAAAACCTAATTTTTTATGTGGAAAAGAGATTTCTTGAGGAGACACCTACAATAGACTTTTTTTCACGTTCTTCGTGTAACTTGCCTAGATTCCGCAAGAACGCGCTACGCATCTCCAAGATCATGCGCGATCTGGAGCCGTCTACTTCTCCCGTTGATACCATAGTTCACTGGATCCTTCACGTGACTCGGTTCGGCGGAGCCCACCTAAGACCAGCCGTTCAGGATCTGAGTTACATCCAGAGAAATCTGCTGGACGTCTACCTCTTCTTAGCTGTCATTGTGGCCTCGGTTTGCTGGATAAACGTGTCTGTGTGCTGCTTCTGTTTCAAGCGCATGCGTAGCAGCCAT